CTAAATCCCATCCTGTTTGGTTGAAAAACAAGGGAGTTATAGCCATTTCAAGTTTAAGCCAATCAGATTGCAGCACACATGCATGCGCGTGATTTCATGATTTTTTTCTATATCATGTTGTAGGATATCCTAATGCATGACTATGTTTTATATTTCAAAGCATTTCTTCAAAAAACAAAGGAGATATAGCCATTTAAAGTTTAAGCCAATCAGATTGCAGCACGCGGGCATGCGCATGCTTTCATGAAAATTCTTATATATCATGCTGTAGATCTTCATAACGTAGTTCTATGTTCAAAATTTCAAAGGATTATGACAAGAAACAAGAGAGATATTGAGACTTTAGTTTCAGCCAATCAAAGCGAAGCGCACGTGCATGCGCGTGAGATCTTACTTTTTTGACCATGTCATTTTGTCTATGCTTCTAATATATACTTATAATATGAGTTTCAAAGCATTTCATCAATAATTTAAATAGTTACGTCTGTATCAATTATATTGGACATTTCTCGTGTTGCACGTGCGAGCTCTTGCAAGCACATGTGCATGCACATGCTTTCATGATAAATCTTATATTACAGGCTGTAGACCTCCCTTATGTATGACTATGTTCAAAATTTCAAAGGATTTTATCAAAAAACAAAAAAAGATATTGAAACTTTAGTTTCAGCCAATCAGAGCGAAGCGAACGTGCATGCGCGTGCGATCTTGCTATTTTGACCATGTCATCTTGTGCATACTACTAATATATCCTTACATTATAAGTTTCAAAACATTTCGTCACAAAATAGAAAAGTTACGGTTAAATCCATTATACATTGGTCATTTTAAGTTTTGCGCGTGCGCGCTCTTGCAAGCACGTGCGCGCAAAATGACCTTGATTCCGCAAATCTACATAACATGCCTACTTACCCTAAAAAGGTTTCACCTAAGTTTGATGTGCAGTTTACAAGAACACTCGCGTACAAAATTTTCCCAGGAAGAAAAATAATAATAAGAATAATAACTAGAAAGTCTGCTATTGCAAGCAATAGCATATGTCGCCCCGTACTGGACAAGATTTTCATTTTTATCATCACTAAAACAATGGTCCATTAGCTAAGCTTGGACAACCACCGAGTCGTATCAGTCCTTTCCGTTGGAAACGGAAGACCTTAATAGGGTACATTCCACTAATTATTTTTAGAATCGGTAGGAGAAGAAAGTAGTGCAGGAAAAAATTACAAGTTCCTAAATTTGCAGACTTGCATAAAAGAAATTGGGCAGATGTACTGAACTGAGCCTCATACTTGTTAATTGGCAGTATCTTTCCTACTAAAAAAGCTTGGCAAGTGTAATTTATTAAGAAGATCAGCCGAATTATTATGTGTATTATAACGCCAGTGAGAACTCTGAAATTTCTCTGCTTTCACTTTGATTTTTAGAGGTTCTGCCGGAAAACGTATCTGACATGCCACCTTCAATTCTAGCATTTCTGCATTGCAATTAGCTGATGTTTGTTATGAGATGATAAATCATGTGTAAACTTTCTCAGTTTAGCGGAATCATGAACATTTTCGGCGAGATGAATGTTTTGTATACAGTGGTGATCAAGGCTTTGCGTACTTGCAGGAGCGGATCCAAGGATTTATGAATGAATAAAAACTATGGAAATGACGTACCAATTTTCTAATTTATACTTGCACTATCTAATGAAATGAATAATATACAAGTAATAGATATACAAGAAAACGCGAAATGATAATAAATGCAGCTGACAATCGTTATTTTTTTTATATAGATAAAATAAAATAATTATAAATTCAAGAGACAAAACAGAAGGAGAATGAATGATGGCAATATGTCACATGACGGGAACTGAATTTTATGAATGAAACTTTTAAAACGTTCCGTGTAAGTTGTATATGTTATATTCTGTGTATTCTACCTGGCTGTGCGCTTCAAAAGGGGGGGGGGGGGGTCGTCTTGAACATAGTACCTTAGCCATAACGTTTGAACGGTAAGGGCTAGGGCTTTCGTATTTCAAATATGTAATCCTTGTGAAAAGAACTTTTATTGGATACGAAGAACTTTGACCCTTTGACCTAGACCTTGGAGAACACATGTGTACATCTTAACCTTTTTTTCTGTTTCCTTTCTGTGGCAACTGTGAGCGACTCATTACAATTATTTTAAAATTAGAAATCACTTTGACACATTGCAAGGAATAAACATTGAAAGTTTCAAAACGATTGCTTGCGTAGTTATTGAGAAAATCGAAATTAAAGAATTTTAACTTTCCCCTGGTTTCCATGGCAATAATCGATTATTTGAAAATTTTAAGTGCGAATCGCACAACTACAGATACTAATCATTAAAATAAGAAAAGTTTCATGACGAACGTTTAAGGGACCAGAGAGAACACTCGCGGACAAAATTCGTCGCTTTTTACAGGTTTTTCGTCGCTTTTTACAGGTTTCCATGGCAACGGTAGACATATTGGAACTGAACGACCTCACTGCACAACTACAACCAGTGATCGTCCTTTGAGGAAAGTTTCAGGAAGATTGTCCCAGCCATCTCCGAGAAACAGCCTGGATAAAAAAAACATGCGTACAATATCAATATGTCGTCCCCGACTTCGTTCGGGGCGACATAATAATAATAATAAGAAACAGAGTAAAAACAATATGTTCCCCAACTTCGTTTGGGGAACATAATTACAGGAATAAAGATAATATACTTAACAGTGGTTCATTCAGAAATCGGAGGGGGGGATGCGGCCAGTTTTAGGTCGGGATAAAGGCCTACAGCCACCCCGAAAAATTCATTTTTAAATCATACGTGTATGTATATTTTGGATACAAAAGGGGGAGGGACGAGCCCCTTCTATATCCGCTAGTGTTAAGTAAGGCCACCATAAAGCGTAGCATCCCTGTACAAATAACATTTAGTTTAATGTTTATTATGTAGCTCTAGGTTAATTTCTTGTTTCGTAATGTTTTAATGTCATTTTGTCAAATAAAATATAAAATGAATTGCTTTATTAACAGACATTGCATAAAAAAGTTATTGTTATATTATACCTTTGTTACAAAATTCAGTTAAATCACGCACACATAAGACGTCAACAGTCTACATTACGAATGACCTAGCAATATGAACAAAAAGTTTCATTCAGTATTCGACTTCAGGAAAGATTGTATTTTCTCACAGACTTATTGTTTGGACCATAGAATTTTTGAAATAACGCCTTTAACCTCCTTCCCCGCAGTCAAGTATTTTAACGCATATACCATTTCCTATTTCTAGCGAAATATTACGCAATTTTCACTAGAAATAGGAAATGGTATATTCGCTAAAATGCTTGACTGCGGGGAAGGGGGTTAAAGTCGTTATTTCAAAAATTCTATGGTCCAAACAATGTGTTTTTGTCATTTATGGTGATAACATGTAAATGTTTATTGCAAGATGACAGCGTTCTTCCGCCGATTAATAAGTCAGACGATTTTCTACTTTTATATAATACAAATGATTAAACATATTTCATAAAGAGTTACGATCTGCGCCTTTTTAATTTAAAAACGGCAATCTATTTCACCAAGGTGACCGACTTATTATTTAAAAGACTGTATCACGAATTGTCAAGAATTGTTAATTCAATGACGCAAAATTGTACCAATATCACTATGACGGGGCTTATAGAAATTGAAACAAACCAGGTTTGGGTGCTTAAATAAAAAAAAATAAAGAAATGGTATAATCTTAGTTTTTGCAAGATGTGTTCTGAATATTAATTAGTTGTAAATCACGTGGGAGCAATCGCATGAATAAACTGCACGCCATTTCTGCATATGGTGAGTAGCCTTGCTTCGTTTAAGAAATTTTTGGTATGTTTTTATAAGCATGCATGGGAAGAAGGCAAATATTCCATATGCTGGCTTTACGAAAGAAAAAAGTCACGTTCAAGATGATAATTAGTTTTGTTGATACATGTAGATCACCCTAAGGTCTTTTGAAGTAAAATAATCAAATATGGAACAGGTTTCTCAGACTCTGGGATCTTTCATTTCGAGATGATATATCTGAATGTTGAATAGAAACCGTTATCTCCAGGTATTTTTTTTATTTTAAATTCTTCTCTCCTCGAGGGTATCAAACAAACTTACTGAGTACATAATTATGATGAGCAAAAATGCCTCGTCTTAATTTGTAAATTTTATTACAGGGAGGATGGATATTGATTTTATATTGGAAATATGTAAATTTTTGAAGAACATAATAACACTGTATGATTAAAAAGATAACATTTTCAAATTTCTAAATTTTTCGATCCTGAGTTATGAATTCTGGTCTTAGGATTGTGCTTTGTTGAATTTGTTGAATTTATAGGGAAAATGCATTGTACCTGTAAAATTCTACTCTTCAAATGATCACCCCGTTGGATCCGGGTTAGAATAGGTCCTCAGTACCCCCTTGCTTGTCGTAAAAGGTGACTAAATGGGGCGGTTCTTCGGATGAGACCGTATAAATCGAGGCCCCGTGTCACAGCAGGTGTGGCACGATAAAGATCCCTCCCTGCTCAAAGGCCCTGAGTGCCGAGCATAGGCCTAAATTTGCAGCCCTTCACCGGCAATGGTGACGTCTCCATATCAGTGAAATATTTGGAGAGGGACGTTAAACAGTATACAATCAATCAATCAATCAAATGATCAATCGTGTGTATTGACTGCAAACTGAGAGGAATGTATTAATTTGTACATGTATTATACTGAGAGATCTATGGAAATTTTTAATAAATACACCTCGACCTGAATATAAATCCCCAATTACATTTATGAATAATATAAGGTCTTGTTTGTATTGATTTAATTATGTAGACACTACATTTGTATAAAGTTTATTAAAAGAAATTGTTTTGTTCTTTCAAAATATCAGAATTAGAGTTGTTGAGAATCTAGGAGCCTTTATAAATTAAAATAGGCAAACGGTATTTATAAATAATATTTAATAATTCTTGGTATACATTGTGCATATAAAATATCAAAGACAGGGGAACCTAGAATCGCATGTTAAAGCAATTAGGTGAATACATGGATATACATCATTTTGTCTATATACAGATATATATTTGCATATACAAAATTTCCATACAGAAAATAATTAAGCTATAGAAAGACTCTACAAAACGGTAAAATAACTAGCCAGTTGTAGGCATCCTTTACAATTTGAAAGATACCTTTGTTATTCTCAATGAATTGAATTTTGTCCAACATATCTGTATTCGTGAATACAATAAGTTATATACATAAAGCGTAAGTTTAAAAAAGGTATACATGTAGAAATGTATTTTCCAGGAAAATTTACTTATAAATCTCTTTCTTTGATTAAGGATATCCGATCATCAGCCAGGAAGGATAACTCTAAAAATGAATATTTAATTTGAAATGCATCAAAATGAACCTTGGAAATGACATTTTTTTATGCAACAATTTTCATTACATTCATCTTTATAAGATTCAAGGTTTTTGGAAGTCTTAGAAAAGGTCTTATAAAAGTTGACATTTGTACCCTATAAAAGGGAAAAAAAATATTACAGTTTTATAGAAATAAGACTTTCTTAAATCCAGCCTTAGATACCAATGCTTATTAGCATGGTTGAAACAAGAAGTAATTTGTGGCGTCTTGCAATGATAGCAAAAGTCTTTTACACTATGTATTATAGAATACATGACGGAAATAGAAAACAAAAAATACCAAACAAGTATAAAAATCATGGCAATTTCTCTGAATGCCTGGATACCGATCGTTTTTTAACCTAAAATATATATGTTGATAAATTTGCAATTAGAAAATGCATTGCTGATATTCCAATTCGCTTCTTCTGCAAAAATATTGGAGATTTGACAACTTCCCCTATAAAATATGATTAACTTTCATCTTTAACTCTAAAGAAATACTGTGGATAAATTTACATAATTTTGTGGATTTAGGGATACTTTTATGAGTATTTTTGATTCCTTAATTAATAATTTTATAAACCCGAGGATCAGACTACTTTAAAGGACATATTTACCAAACATGAATAAATCAAGCTAATTTAAGAGTTGACAATAGCATAGCTACAAATATAATGATATAAACACTAAAGCAAATCCGTTGGTCATCGTGTCCACTTGTTAACCCACCTAAAATATCAAAGAAATAAAACTAGATGAATTATTATTTTTTTCAAAATCTTAGTAATTTTACCTATTAAAGATTGAACATAAGAAAAGTTTGGAATCCAACATTCAGATGGTCATTAAATGCAGTGATAATTGGATAATTAAATAGTTTTAAGACATTGAATAAAACCATTAAAAAGAATTGGAATATTTAGAAGAAATGCCATCAGAAGATTGATAAAAAATACATGAGTTTAGCATCATCTTTAAATGAAGTGCAAAAGTATGTGTTCTAAGGCATTACGAATATTCGTATACTGTGAAATCACTTATTTCATGGGGGTTTAATTTTCGTTGTTTTCTTTGAATGGAGAGACCCACGAATTCATTACCAGCACGAAGTGTAAAATTTAATACGCATTTCTAACTTAACATTCTCCAACCACGAAATCTAATCCTCACAATCCAATATTTTTTTCCTAAAACCTCGAGAATTGACCGCAATTAAATATGTCATTTTAGAGTATCTAAATTACCTGCTTCCAAAACCAGTTCAACGCTTTGTCTGTCCATAGTGCATAAAAACCTTAGCCCTGGGGTATATTTTGTAATGAAGCCATCAATTCCAAGAGGATGTCCTGTAAAAAGTTAATGAAATTCATGACGTGTTGGTATAAAGTTTTTTTTTTAATTTCTATATGCCTTGTGCATTAAATTCTAAAATATGTTCAATAAAGTTTTTCTTTTACCTCCAATCGTCGCAGTCATTGTATTATAAATATGTTCATATAGATAAATGTTCTTCTTTTCTTCCTCATTCGTCATGTGCATTATATTTTACATGTTCATATAATATTCTTTTTTCTGTTTGTTATGTGTACGGCAAGCCCTTTTTCTATTTATTCGGAAAATGAAATTTATCTTGAAATTCCAGAAATATCTCTTAAAAAATAGAGATGTATCCAAACTTAAAGAAATATCTCTCATTTTAAAGACACATATCTTTGAGAAAGAGATATCTCTTAAACTTAGAGACTGATATCTCTTTTTATAAGATATTTCTTCCACTAGAACGGATATTTGCTATGATTACGTTACACACTTTATTGTCAAGAAAATGAGAGGTGAAAACAATAGTTGTTTAACTTAATGGACAGTGCCAGGTTAATTTAGATTTAAATGATAGCACACTTGATTTCTGACTACTACCCATGTAAAGCTTCATGAGTGAAGGTGTCCTCATCGGATGGAAAAAGTAATACATGAAGGATATGGAGATAACGAACAGTATTCAATCTCAACGTCCATTAACCAATATACAAAATAAGACCAGAGCAAACACAGACCTCCTAAACATCAGAGGTGGGATCAGGTGCCATGGAGGAGTGAGCATCCCCTGCCGACCGGTCACACCCGCCGTGTGCTCGTTGTCATGATCAGGAAATAACGGAAAAAATCCATCGTCAATTCAGTGTATAAATAATGGACTAACAATTAGTATGAAAAACGTCAGTCAGCATTGGACTCAATGATAAATTGTTTTTGCTGACATGGTCTTGTTATTGACCATAGAATTTACGAAATGATGACTTTAAACGACACTGTTGATATTCTTGTTTCATCAACTTGCTTGTCAATAATTTACCTCGTTTAAAAAATTGTTCATACGTAGGGCATGCTCTTGCGTATCGAATCAACTGAGATATATATACTCCGTATGCAGGTGATGAAGGTATATTGCTGCATAAGTAAGGGAAATTGACGATAGAAAAGTTAAAGTCATCACGTTTTTCGTATAGCTTGGTTGTTAGATTACCATTAGTGTCTTTTTCAAGTAAAATATCCAAGTATGAAGCAGAAGTGTCGGACTCTGTGGTATCTTTTATCTCAAGCTCACCAGGATATATCGTATCGACGTAGGAATGGAAGTAAACATTATTACACATGTAATTGACAATACGTCGTCGATATATCTAAATGTCGAGTTGAAGGCCACAGCAAGTGTTTTCTTCTTTTCACGCATAAGATTTCGCATAAATTCTGCTTCATATGAATATAAAAATAAGTCTGCTAATAACGGAGCGCAATTTGTACCCATGGAAATTCTAATAGATTGTTGGAATACCTGGTCTCCAAAAACCACATAGATATTGTCAATCAGAAACTCAAGCATCTTCTTGAGTCAACTTCAGAGTACTTATGTGTGCAATCAGAATCTGTTTTAACAAAATAATTTTTCAAATGACCAATGACGAGGTAAGTAAATTTACGAGTTCCATTTTTGTTGAAGAAGCAGCTGTCAATGATATCAAAAAGCCTGGATTTTAAATTGTCGTGGGGAATTGTTGTGTATAAAGTTGAAAAGTCGTAAGTTTTTAAGCTGTTGATGTTTGTAAAGTCTTGTGATGTAAAATTGTCCAAAAGTTCTTTAGAATTTTTAAGTATCCACATCTGATTTACACCACTTCTTGAATATATAGTTGCACAGTACTCTTGAAGCTTTTCCTTCACTACTGTCAATATTTTAGTGAGAAGCAACGAAAGAAGCTTGGTTGAACATTTACTGGAACCTGCAATGTATCTTTCAAAATACATGCCAGGGGGAGGTAAATACTCTAAAGTAGGTTAGGCAGAAGCAGAAGCCTGTAGTGTAGGTAAGCAGATTCTGAAGTAAGTGTTCCAATTTAGACTAAAATATCACAAATCTTTGTATACATTCACGATTTGAAGACACTGTACGAAACATTCTTTGAGAACAAGAGCGGCGACTCGCTTGTGTGAAGCTGAGATTGAAGAACAGCTATTAAACAGAGAAAACTTGCCACAAATCTATAATAGTTTAAACGTACAATAGAACCAATAATAAAAAAGCAACAGGGAGTAAATGAATTAATTCATGGAAAATGGGGGATTCAGATGATGGGAAGTGTAAGGAAAAAATGAAAATTTGTTATCCCTGTCTCAAAAAATGATTCTGAATGTAGTGCATCTAGTAAGATTATCATTTCATCAGGAAATTTTCATTTCTCATTTTAAATTAAATTGCTTTTGGATATATTTTTATTTGTTGGATATATTCCTGGAAATGGATCTACCATATCTAGCATTCATTTACAATTGTTGTGAAGAGGATTAGACGTTTGTGAATTATAAAAAAAGAAACTTCTGGATGTGGATGTTCTAAAATTATTATGCATCAGGATATTACATTTGTCTTTATTGCATTGGATTTGTCTTTTCGAAAGATGATATACTGTTGAACATTTCATATTCAAATGTTTGATATTCACGTATAATTGTGTATTACATGTACATAAAAAAATTGCCTGTTTTAATCATTAATAAAGTCAGAAAAAATATTGCATTTTATGTATTTTTGATACATTTTAAAACCTTACATTAAGTTATTTGTAACTGTACATAAAGTTGAAAAAAAAACTGTCAATTAAGTTAAATGTAAGAATTGAGAGTTTTTCAACTTAATGTACGGTTACAGGTGACTTAATGTACAGGTTTTAAATATCCAAATCTATTATGCTATATAGTGTACTAAAAGCACAAAGGATTACACAACAAAAATGTCTCAAATACACGAGACATTGAACGAACCATTTACAAATCTCCTTAAATTGTATGGTAATTATGTTCCCCAAACGAAGTTGGGGAACATATTGTTTTTACTCTGTTTCTTATTATTATGTTCCCCAAACGAAGTTGGGGAACATATTGTTTTTACTCTGTTTCTTATTATTATTATTATTATTATTATTATTTTTCTTCTTCCTGGGAAAATTTTGTCCACGAGTGATCTTGTAGACTATACATCCGACTTAGGTGAAACCTTTTTAGGGTTAGTAGGCATGTTGTGTAGAGTTGCCAAACGAAGGTCATTTTGCGCGCACGTGCTGGCAAGAGCGCGCACGTGCGACACGTGAAATGACCAATATAATGGATATCGCCATAACTTTTCTATTTTTTGATGAAATATTTTGAAACTCATACTGTAAGGATATATTAGAATTATAAACAAGATGACATGGTCAATATAGCAAGATCTCACGCGCATGCACGTGCGCTTCGCTCTGATTGGCTGAAACTAAAGTCTCAATATCTTTCTTGTTGTACGTCATAATCATTTGAAATTTTGAACTTAGTCACACATTATGAAGATCTACGGCATGATATATAAGGATTTTCATGAAAGCATGTACATACACGTGTGCTGGCAAGAGCGCGCACGTGCAACACGTTAAATGACCAATATAATAGATATTGCCGTAACTTTTCTATTTTTTGATGAATTTTTTTGAAACTCACAATGAAAGGATGCATTAGTAGTATCAACAAGATGACATGCTCAAAATGGCTAGATCTTACGCGCATGCACGTGCGCTTTGCTCTGATTGGCTGAAATTTAAGTCTCAATATCTTTCTTGTTTTACGTCATAATCCTTTGAAATTTTGAACATGGTCATACATTATGAAGATCTACAGTATGATCTATAAGAATTTTCATGAAAGCACGTAAATTTACGTGTGCTGCAATCTGATTTGTTGAAACCTTAAATGCCTATAACTTTCTTGTTTCTCAACAGAACAGGATGAAATTTAGAATATGAATAGGTATAATGGAATCCTACATGATACTACTATCAAAATTGAATGCAAGGACGTGCTTGCATGTACTTGCGCAAGCGCAATGCGAAAAATGAACTATATACTTGAAAAACAGTAACATTTATATTTTTATGACTTTTTATTGATTCCTGGAATATAAAGATATGTTAATAGTTTAGACAACATGCCATGATCACCGTGCAATGCGTTAAATGACAAAAAGTTGATATCATTGTAGCTTTTAAAATTCTTTCTATAAAATTCTGCGATACTGAGCATATTAAAAAAGGTTTTAAAGGAAATTGGCACAAAAAGGGAGTTGGGGAGCGTTTGGGGAACATCTGTAACGGTCCCCGTTACAATTAGAACTAGTTATTATTATTATTATTTTTCTTCTTCTTCTTCTTCCTGGAACTTTTTTGTCCGGGAATGATCTTGTAAACTATTCGTCCGATGTAGGTAAAACCTTTTTAGGGTTAGTAGACATGTTATGTAGATTTGCGGAATCAAGGTCATTTTGCGCACACGTGCTTGCAAGAGCGTGCACGTGCAACACGTGAAATGACCAATATAATAGATATAGCCACAACTGTTCTATTTTTAGATGAAATGCTTTGAAACTCATAATGTGAGGATATATTAGTAGTATAGACATGACAACGTGGTGAAAATAGCAAGATCTCACGCGCATGCACGTGCACTTCGCTCTGATTGGCTGCAACTAAAGTCTCAATATCTTTCTTGTTTTTTGACGAAATCCTTTGAAATTTTGAACATAGCCATGTATTAGGATATCTTACAACATGAAATAAAGCAATTATCATGACAACACGTGCATGCACGTGCGCTGCAATCTGATTGGCTGAAACTTTAAACAGCTATATCTCCCTTGCTTTTCAACCAAACAGGATGGGATTTGGAACATAGATAGATATAATGGAATTCTACAAGTAGGTATAGTCACCAAGCACATGCATACACGTGTGTGTACATGTGCTGCAATCTGATTGGCTGAAACTTTAAACAGCTATAACTCTCTTAGTTTTCACCCAAACGGGGTGGAATTTAGAACATAGATAGATGTAATGGACTTCTACAAGAAGGTATGGTCACCATGCTCATGTATGCACGTGCGTGCACGTGAAATGAGTAAAATCAAACATACACTTGAATGAGCGTATTTTATTAATAATTTTGGATTTAATACTTTAATATTCAGTGTATTAAAATATAGATTGTGCAGACAAGATGATAAGGTCATGACGCAAATGCATTCACATGTGCACGCGTGAAATGCTAAAGTTTAAATGATTTTTGTACACTTCTTTGTAAATGTTGTTAAAATCTCAGATGCATAGAGTTTGTCTTATTTAATGAAGCTTACAGGGAATATGGCACCAAAAGAGAGTTGGGGAGCGTTTGGGGAACATCTGTAACGGTCCCCGTTACAATTAGCACTAGTTATACAAGTTTTTATACATTGAGGTTACTTGAAACGAGACGACTAATGTTTATACTTTGAATTTGATTTACATTTCTTACTAAAACTTTACAGCCTTTATATTTCCGAAAATTCCTTCAATAAATGCACATTTTTTTTGATCAATAGATTACCGTGATTTCAGTAAATATGTTACCGTGAATTTGGATATATCTATTTTCAGTTTATAAATTGCCGTTATTTTACACATCTATTTTCAGTCAATTGATTATACCGTGATTTTTGACATTTATTTTTAGTTTATAGATTATACCGTGATTTTGGACCTCACACTCCGTTCTTGAGGTATTCTGGTTCCATCTACATGTTTCTATAGGGACCCCAGCAGTCCAATCAATGATACTTATCTGCTCTGACACGTTGAAGAAACTGTGTTGACACATAATAACGGCATGGGTTTCATTGTGGGTGACATTTGCCTTGAAACATGAAACTGAAAGTAAGGAAAGATAAAATTAGGATATATTGAAGCTCGTGTATCCTTACTCTGCAACTAATACGGTAAAATATACTTACAGTTAAAAGCCAGGGGCAAACAGTTTTGCTTCATTATAAGCGTTTAATATTATTGTATCCCTATACATGCATTTCAAAGACAGGAGGAATGAAAACGATTTGCTCTTACATGTAGCTTAAATTTATTACATTTAAAAAGCGTGTTCTTTATAACTTGTTCTGCTACATGTAAATCCATGAAACTCGTTATAAAAAAGGTTTTCATCTTATTCATTTTTGAATGTGAAACTGATATACTTACAACAAGGAAACAATGTGATATTTTTCCTCTGACCAGTTCCGGCATCACACGTGGTATTAACCAAGATTGAATTCCCAGAATTCTCTGTGTTGTTAGATGTCAAGGTAAACGTCAACATTCTGTACGCTTTATCATAGCCCCCCACTACACAGATGACTCTTCTATCGGCAGAGTTACGGGAGTTTTGACATTTTTTGTCATCTTTCGAGTCTTCTTCAATTACAACCCTTGTAGAATTTGAATCACAGTCAGTATGAATCCCAAGGGTTTGAGTGTCTTTATAACAAAAACCCTTTCGCATTTCGTCTTCTTCTATGACCTCTTCTATTAAAGTATAATTTATGTGAAATAAATTATACACATTCTGAACATTTTTACAATGAACATAATTCTACAAAACATTTTCCTTAACTTTGTATGAAATGTCCTGATAATGATATTCAAAATAATTGTGTATATTTAAAAAATACTCATGTTGTACTAAGTGTGAAAAATAATCAATACTCTTTATGCAAAAATCTCTTAGTTTATAAAATCTGTTTGAAAAATTAAAAATTGACGATGAAAGTATATTTCAAAATCAGATAGCATTTGCTTTAAATGCGCAGTACAGTTAAGGGTATACACAATAATTTGTTACGAGGTCATAAAACTCATAATTAGGTTTAACGTCATGAACTATTTACCGATATTGGCAGTAATTTGTAACAAACTTCAACATTTTTATCTTTGATTGAATAATACTAAGTAACTATTGATTTTTTCGTATATAAAATCTTAAAATTGTTCTCTTTTTAATGTGTTCTTTGGTTCCATTAGGCTTCAATAAAGCACTTGGACTCGATGGCACGGAATGTTCTTTACATTTAAAAACGTGGCAACAAAGCTAAGATACATGTGTGCAGTGGATTTAAATAAAGATGTGGTCTTCTAAAATCCCATAGATATTGTCAATCTGAAACTCAATTATTACTTGGAGGTGAAATGTTTCTCGTAATATCTTCCTGAACGAACAGCAACTGGTCAATTATATGCATGACTCCGTTAGTAGCTCCTTCGTCCATATAAATAACATTCGCTGATGCATCTCCAAAGTAAATCCGTACATCTAAAAACAGATAAAAATATTGAAGGTGTGAGTTTGTTTAATGCTTAAGTACGTTACACTCCCATACTTTCTATGTGCCAGTCAGACACACAAGGTCATTATATAACTAACTCAGACACACAAGGTCATTATATAACTAAGTCAGACACACAAGACACACAAGGTCATTATATAACTAAGTCAGACACACAAGGTCATTATATAACTAAGTCAGGCATACAAGGTCATTATATAACTAGGTCATTATATAGCTAACTTAGACACACAAGGTTAATATATAACTAAGTCAGACACACAAGGTCATTATATAACTAAGTCAGACACACAAGGTCATTATATAACTAAGTCAGACCCACAAGGTCATTATATAGCTACATGTAACTCAAACACACAAGGTCATTATATAACTAAGTCAGACACACAAGGTCATAATATAACTAACTCAGACACACAAGGTCATTATATAACTAACTCAGACACACAAGGTCATTGCATAACTAAGTCAGACACACAAGGTCATTGTATAACTAAGTCAGACACACAAGGTCATTATATAGCTAACTCAGACACACAAGGTCATTGTATAACTAACTCAGACACACAAGGTCATTATATAACTAACTCAGACATACAAGGTCATTATATAACTAACTCAGACACAAAAGGTAATTTAGAACTTAGTCAGACACACAAGGTCATTAAATAACTAAGTCAGAAACAAAAGGTCATTATATAACTAAGTCAGACACACAAGGTCATTATATAACTAAGTCAGACACACAAGGTCATTATATAGCTACATGTAACTGAAACACACAAGGTCATAATATAACTAAGTCAGACACACAAGGTCATAATATAACTAAGTCAGACACACAAGGTCATTATATAACGAAGTCAGACACACAAGGTCATTGTATAAGTAATTCAGACACACAAGGTCATTGTATTACTAAGTCAGACACACAAGGTCATTATATAGCTAACTCAGACACACAAGGTCATTGTATAACTAACTCAGACACACAAGGTCATTATATAACTACAGTCCCTAAAACGTTCTACTTTCCCACCTGAACGGTGAACGAACGCTGAACGAACGCTGAACGAACGGTGAGCGAACGCAGAGCGAACGGTGGGTGAACGATGTGCGAACGCTGAACGCAACTTGGTGAACGATGTGTGAACGGTGAATGCAGAACGCGAACGGAGCGCGAACGCGAGTGCAAAGTGAACGGTGAACGAACGGTGAACGCAAGATGAACGATTTATTCGGAATGCCTCCAATCTTTTCCTTGGATTGAGATTATTCTATTATTCTATAATTTTAACTTCAGGTGCTTAAATATAAATAAACAATAAATAAATAAATAAATAAATATTAAAAACATTTTTGTTCTGTACATGTATATACCTATGTTTTAATCGATATTTTTGTAACACGATTTTATTGCCGTAAAACATGTGTATTTTTTTCCGAACGCGAGTAGATAAAATATAAAATTAATCTATCTATATAGTAAATATGCTTATTCTTTTCACTAATAAAATAATGTGGACCTTTGATGATAAAACTAGTACTTATAGAATGAATTAATTACATTGTACGCGGTTGAAACAACCATACATGTACATGTATTTCCGTGCCAAAGCGATTCTGAGTAAAATAACGGATTTTTTTTTAAATTCACAATTATCTGTTGACATTGACTGTTATCGTACTGCATAAAACTCTCGTTTTATTTAAATTCTAATGCAAAATATTCTATATTTATGTGCCTTTTGTATTCTTTTATGACGATTATTTTAGCTAACTTCTTCATGTATCTGTAGACATTTCCCGGCCGTGATTATACTCGGTCAAGGTGTTGGAAAGAGGCATTCAAGTTATTTGTAATAAAATAAAATTTCAAAACTAAATAAGTAATTTGCTGTCATAGTTTTTATTGAACAGAGAAATGTACGAGAGAGAGATAACCCCCTCGATTCTCAGATGTCTGTAGTATCAAATGAAAATTCTTATTATTTTTCCTAAATATTCCAAGCAGTAAAGCTAATCTTTTTTTGAGATTAACAAATCCATTTGACCGTAATCATTAGCTTTTATTTTCCATCATCAAGTTCGTACAGTTCAAAGGAAGTCCGTGCAAGTAGCGTGCATGTCCTGTCAATCAAAATAATTCGACACAGTGGAGGTGTGGAAATTGCGTTTCACCGAACATGCCAACGGCAAAGAGTCACTTAGTATTCCAAGAAGTTTTAATATTTTTTCCTATCATTTCTAGATTTGATTTTAGCATTCCTGCAGAAAGAAAGTAATTGGATTAAGTTTTAACTTGAATTTGAAACATATTCCCTGCCAGTTTAAAATACTACTGTCGGCACAAGTTTATTCTAAAACACTATTGTTTAATGACTGTTTGATGTTGGTTTTAAGACTGATTTTCTTGTGTTACAATACAAATTAAATATTGATTAAAATATACTGAAAAAACTCAATAAGAATTTTATTTCGGGAAAAAAGACACCGGGGGGGGGGGGGGGGGGGTCTTAATTATACTGAATGGCAAACATATACTGAAGATCACTTAATTTTCGCGAGATACTCATTGACCCTTAATTAGCGTGACAAAATTTTCACGAACTGTGGGCATTGCTCTATATAATCTTAAGAAATTCTATTATACGCGAGAATGAAATTTTCGCGAGCATACCGTCTCGCGTAATTACGCGAAAATAAAGTTCTCGCGAATAAAAAGTGATTAACAGTATTTAAACATATGTTTAGGTACGGTGAAGGAAGGAATTTTCCTTTTCTAATAATAGACTATTTTAAACATTTTGGTCTTTTCTGAAATTTAAAACCACACCATCAATTTAATTAGCTTTAAAGATATTTAATTAACTGAATATTTGCAGTACTGTTCATAATTCTCAAACCTACATGTAGTTAAAATACGTGTTACTGTAGAAATAATTTTTTATATATTATTGTCCTGTAAAAGACTTGGATTAATTATTATACATCCATTAATAATTTGTCCTCTTTAAAATTACAACAAATTGATGCCATGCGTGAAGCATTTGTACACTGCCCTTTTTTAAAGTTAATATTTTAGCATCGTTCTACATACATGTAGGTGCTTAATGTATTATTTTCCAGAGAAATTTCATGAAATAAGTAACAGCTGAGTTATAACAATAGAAATATAAATATCATAGATAATTTTTGCAATATAATAATTATTCTTCAAACACGATATCTAAGTTATTTAATTAAAAAACATGTAAATCCTTACCATCAAAAAGATAAGTCCTTTCACTTCGGAGTTCCGAATGACAATGAAGACTGAACGATAAGTGAACGGTGAACGCAAGGTGAACGCAAAGTAAACGGAACGAAGAGCGAACGGTGAACGTTTTGTGAACGGTGAACGCTAGCGCACGGTGAACGGTGAACGCAATACTGTGAACGAAGAGCGAAAAGTGAACGCACGCTGAACGAACGGTGAACGAACGCTGAACGAACGGTGAACGAACGGAAAAATGGGAAAGTAGAACGTTTCAGGGACTGTAACTCAGACACACAAGCTCATTATATAACTAAGTCAGACACACAAGGTCATTATAAAGCTACATGTAACTCAAACACACAAGGTCATTATATAACTAAGTCAGACACACAAGGTCATTATATAACTAAGTCAGGCATACAAGGTCATTATATAACTAAGTCAGACACACAAGGTCATTGTATAACTAACTCAGACACACAAGGTCATTGTATAACTAAGTCAGACACACAAGGTCATTATATAGCTAACTCAAACACACAAGGTCATTGTATAACTAACTCAGACACACAAGGTCATTATATAACTAACTCAGACATACAAGGTCATTATATAACTAACTCTGACACAGAAGGTAATTTAGAACTTAGTCAGACACACAAGGTCATTAAATAACTAAGTCAGACACACAAGGTCATTATATAACTAAGTCAGACACACAAGGTCATTATTTAACTAAGTCAGACACACAAGGTCATTATATAACTAAGTCAGACACACAAGGTCATTATATAACTAAGTCAAACACACAAGGTCATTATATAGCTACATGTAACTCAAACACACAAGGTCATTATATAACTAAGTCAGACACACAAGGTCATAATATAACTAAGTCAGACACACAAGGTCATTATATAACGAAGTCAGACACACAAGGTCATTGTATAAGTAACTCAGACACATAAGGTCATTCTATAACTACATGTAAGTCAGACACACAAGGTCATTATATAGCTAATCAGACACACAAGGTCATTGTATAACTAACTCAGACACACAAGGTCATTATATAACTAACTCAGACATACAAGGTCATTATATAACGAACTCAGACACAAAAGGTAATTTAGAACTTAGTCAGACACACAAGGTCATTAAATAACTTAGTCGGACACACAAGGTCATTATATAACTAAGTCAGACACACAAGGTCATTATATAACTAAGTCAGACACACAAGGTCATTATATAACTAAGTCAGACATACAAGGTCATTATATAACTAAGATGATTTTGTACTTCTGCTAAGGATTGAGCCCGGGACTCTGGCTTGCCAGTTCAGTGCTCTACGAATTGAGCTAAAAGATGAACCTACTAGCCCAAGCTAGTAGGATGTCATATATGTGTATCTTACACTACTATATACATTTGTTTTCCCGTTCCGAAAAAAAAGAATTCCAAGTTATTTTGAACTGTTATTCAGTTCCAAAACCTTTTATTTACATTTTCTTCTTTGTTTATACATGCTTTGATTTCCTACATCCTGATAGAGAAAAAAAATGTGAAGTGGATTTAATGAGCCACATTGTATTGTTTACACAATGGTAATGTCACAAAAATGGTTCGACTTTAATTACTTAGATAACAGTACAACAGTGTAGTAACCGAAAAAACAATCCTTATTTGCAATTACAAAGATAACAAAACTAGAGTGTAATTACCAGGATAACAATACTTAATTGTATTTACCAAGATAACAAAACTAGACTGTAATTACCGAGGTAACAAAACTAGACTGTGATGACCGAAATTACAATTCTAAATTGTAATTAATAATATGATAATGCAGAGACAACAAGAATAGATTGTATTTACCGGTATGATCATATATGTTCTAAACTGTAATTACTGAGATAAAACTTTCTGACGACTAATTGCCGATACAATGATACTAGACTGTAATTGCCGAGAGATAATTAACAAAAATAGATTGTAATTATAGAGAAAAAAATAGTTTCACTGTATTTACGGAGATAACATGGATTAATTGTATTTGCTTAGATTACAATCCGAGAAATTAATACCAGTTAACGTTACTCGACTTAACATTGTAATTACCAATATAACATGTAATTACTGAGATACAATGATAGACGTCACTAATAAAGACACCAAAACTAGACTATAGTTACCGAGATATTAAACTAAATTGTTATTATCAAGACAACAAAACTAGACTGTGATGACCAAGATAACAAGACTATACTTTAATTCACAATATAACATTACTGGAATGTAATTACTCAGAAAACATTACTGGAGTGTTATTACCTAGAAAAAATAACTGGAGTGTAATTACCTTAATAACATTACTAGAGTGTAATTACATGTACCTATATAATATTGCTGAGTGTAATTACCTAGCAAACATTACTGGAGTGTAATTACAAAGAAAACATTACTGGAGTGTAATTACCTAGAAAACATAACTGGAGTGTAATTACCTAGATAATATTATTGGAGTGTAAGTACCTGAATAACATTACTGGAGTTTAATTACTCAGAAAACATTACTGGCGTGTAATCACCTGGATAACATTACTCGAGTGTATTAACCTAGATAACATTACTGGAGTGTATTCACCTAGAAAACATTACTGGGGTGTAATTCCCTAGTTAACATTACAGGAGTGTAATTACCTATATAATATTATTGGAGTGTAATTACCTAAATAACATTTCTGGAGTGCAATTACTCAGAAAACATTACTGGAGTGTACTTAACTAGATAACATTACCGGAGTGTAATTTCCTAGATAATATTGCTGGAGTGAAATTATCTGGATGCCATCACTGGAGTGTAATTACCTAGATAATATAACTGAATTGTAATTACCTGGATGACATTACTGGAGTTTAATTACCTAGATATCATTACTGGAGTGTAATTACCTGGATATTTTACTGGAATGTAATTACCTGGATAACATAACTGGAGTGTAATTACCTAGATAACATTACTGGAGTGTAGTTACCTGGATAACATTACTTAATTGCTTTACAAAATAACAAATAAGTTATAACAGAGATAACAATACTAACATTACTCACATTATAATTACCAAGATTACAATACTAGACCGTTATTACCGAGACAACAAACTGTAATTACATGGCCAAGAAACTAATTACCGAGAGAACAAACTGTAATTTCAAGGACAAGAAACTGTAATTACCGAGACAACAAACTGTAATTACAAGGACAAGAAACTGTAATTACCAAGAAACAAACTATAATTACCTCTGTCGTTTGCTTTAGAGACATTTATTGTCTCGCCATTTAGCATTTTTATCTGGTGGTTACCATTTGCAAGTTTTTCTAAGTAAATTCTACCAGGAGCAATGAGCCGCTTAAACAACTGAAAACAAAATTAAAAATATTAAACATCATTTATTAACACAATCCTGGATGAATAATAACAATTATTAATATAGAGATCAATATTCTTTTCTTTAAATTGCATTCTTATTAACCATAAATCTGCGAAGGAGTAGTTGCAAGAAACATGAAGATGTATTTCATTTTTTATAAAAGAGTAGATACTTTTATAATACTGTATTTTTCGGACCAAATACTAGATTATGATTTTTTTAACGGAAGATTGGATGAAATTCATTTCTTTGCCCTACTTCTTTCTTTGAGCATCAACATAAATACATTGTAATTGACGTTTTAAAAAATAATTTTAAAAACATTTTCGAACCCTAGTTATCGATTTAACAGAGAATGGATTCTCTTTTATTAATTATATAGGTTGGTACCCTCTATAAAAATGAACTTTACATTCAAGCTATTTTTTTATTTCTGAAAACTTTCATATAATTCATCTCCCTTTCTTGATAATAAAAAAAATAATTCACTTCTGTTCAATGAGCATCTTTTATCTTCACTTACATACTGAAATCGTGGTGTGTCTATCATGACTCTGACACCATTAAGCGACAGTGAAAAATAGTCTACAGCACTAGAATTGGGAACGAAGACTGTGAATTCACATGCCACTCTGCTCGTTCCGCAACATCCCATGTCGTAATCTGCGCCACTCTGTGTCCCTGTGTTTAGCATGTTGCACGGATACGTGTTGCACGGAGATTTGTTGGCATTGCTGGGGTCTCTACAGTACGTGACATACTGACACTGCGTTGTTGAGCTCCCGTTACAACTCACAAGACATTGCTGGGTATTAGCGAAATCGGGCTGCGAACAGTAGGAGGGGCAGTAAGACCCCCGAGGTATACAAATAGCTGTATTACAGGGGTACTGATTTTGGTAAATTTCCTGGGCACAGTATGTGGGGCAGGGGGTGGGCTGACATAGGAGAGTGTTACAGGGGTATTGATTCTGATACGGGGCCAGGATACAGTACATAGGACAGGCCGTGCCCTGGTTAGTATGCACGGCTGATACGTAATTAAAGGGATAGCCGGATTTTTCAAAACTGCACGTCTCTGCTGTGAATCTACGGTCCGTCAGGTAGTTCTTTAAACCAACTCTTATCATAAAGTCGTATGTGCGCCTACAATTTAAGAAATAAATTTATTCCCCTAGCTAAAGATTGTGAAAGACAATGATATCAACAAAAATTGTTATTGGAGGCGTCATATTTTTTTCATTCGCCTAGGCCAGGAATAAAGTTAAATCTGATGATCATTGAACATGTGTATGAATATCAATTAGCAGCACTTACAACAACAAGATATCATGGCAGATCAACATGGGAAGATCCAGGTAGGGAATGCCCAGTACAGAGTCGATGATATGGACCAAACCGTTTACCGTCTCGATGTCCGGCTTGATTATGCGAGCTTTCACGTTACCATCCTGAACCCATGTCTCTAGAAAAGAAATTTTAGTTAATACGTTGCACGGTTTCTCTTCTCAAAAAAGTATTATCAATTAAAGATTTTGGAAAGGTAAGGAATAGATCATTCACTGTTCTCCTTATTGAATTCGTTTGGAAGACTGCTAACATTTAAAATAAAGCAGACACAATAATTATAATATTACAAAATAGAATGAAACTTTAAAAGAACTGAAAAAAAAGTTCTGTGATTTTTTACAATGCCTGTACAATAGGTTTCGATCTCAAGAAATAGATATAGAAGAGAGAAACCATTCTAAATGTTATATCTAAAATTAAACCAGTTTTTGTTCTGTGAAAAAGAGATTAATTTTTTCACGTGCCTTATTTATCTAAACCTACACACAACTACCACATAAGTGGAAATTTTAGCGAGACGCAAATTTAGCGATTTGTCCTTAAAAATAGGTATTTTATTGTAGGCGAAATGTTATTCAAGCGATTTTAAAAAGCTCTCTAAAGAAGCTTTTACAAATAAAGTGCAATTAATTTTAGCGATATTTTATTTTAGCGACCTTAGCACCCTCTCTTATAATGCCAAAATTAAATCCTCGCTAAAAATTCTGCTTATACGGTATTTACCATCTCTGTCATTATAGATAATGACTCTTTCGTTTTTATACATGGTTTGTCTGTATTGACGACTATCGTATCCGCTCATTGCTGGCAAAGAAGCAATTCTTACTGTGTTGTTGAGCATCAAAATATGCAGTCGAATAACCTGGAAAAAACACAATAAAATTATCTACCGAAAACTGCTATATCACAGGTACATGCACCGCAAACCAAAGCTTCAGAAATGAATCAAACATATGACCACAGGCACGTAGCAACAGACCCCCCCCCTATTTTTTTCAGACGTAACTTTTACAACTAGTATATAAAATGTTAACAGAGTGCTGGTTGGTCCCCCCCCCCACTTGTAGTTACAGTAATATCAAATAAGGGTAACGTAGTATTATATGTGAAAATTTGGCACCAAGAGAAGTCCTACCTACCTCCCCCCCCCCAAAAAAAATAGGATTAAGGAGTTTGACCTTTTTTTTGACTTGTCCAGTTTTTTTTTTCAGGTAGGATTGCCCCCCCCCCTCCCTCATTTTTAAAATCAATGCTACGTCAATGGACCAGATTCTACAAGTTGATAAGTTGCTATAATGATCCGGTTCTATAATGATCCATAGTCACAAGTATCTATTGCTATAAAGATCCAGTATCATGATGATACATTGCTAATACTGATCCGGCGCTATAACAAATGTTGCTTCACAGCCCCGTTGCTATAATGATCTGGTTCTAGTGAAATCTTCCTAATCCATACAGGCTGGCTAAAGACATCTATGAATTTTTCCAGCCTATATTTTCAGAGTTACTTGCATCAGAAATTACCGTTTAATTCTGGTAATAGTTATTCTTGTCAGAATTAATGATGCCAAAAAAATCTGAATTTTTTTTTAAACTATTTTATCATTCGTAACAAAACTGCAATTTTTCTTTAAGTATTTTTCAGGATTAAAAAATGTTTTCATGAAAATCTTCTGGAAATAGCACATTTTGTTGCATATGGCAACAACTCAATTCCCCCCTCCCCCCCCCAAAAAAAAATATAAAAACAGTTACTCCCCCTTTTTAAAATATTTAAATAATTTTTGCATGTAAAAATGTTTGAGGTTGAGCATGAAAAATTAAGATTTTAGTCATCTTAGAATAGTACAACTGTTGCAGAGATAGTTACCATGTCCGCTAATGTCTGGTTATAGGTAAGATTTGCCCAGGGGATGTTCGCAATTTTTTGGAAGGCGTTGTCGAAAGGCACGAAGACGGTTACCCCCGAAGGCTGTACAAAGGCACTCTTTATTTTTTCTGTGCCTAAATTTATTAATTGATCAAATTTCCTAAAAAAAAAAATAAATTTATTTTAAAAACACAATGTCTATAACACGTTGATTTGTGAAAGATATGTTGATAGTGCGGGACTTTGAATTTCACTGCAGAACAGTTTTAAATTAACACTATATAAATTATGGCAAACCAGATTCTCTTGTCTCCATGTAATTCTGATAATATAATGCCTTTTCTGTTTGGATTAAATTCTTTCAATTTTCTACTTTTATACTGTAAATGTGATAATTATAATTCAGTTTCATGTACACTGGGGCAACAGTCCTCTGAAAGTTGACCCAAATCATGAACCTATTACCATTTCAACTAGGTAGACACTGACAAAGTCGATAAAGCGTCTTGACTAAGACAGATTTAACACAAAACATCAAGTGATCATAGCCAGGCATTGGCTTTAAACACAAGCTTTGAGGTTCATAATAGTGAAATATACATTATTTTTCAGATTAACATTATTTTAAAAAAAAATTCTGTAAATGATGTCATTTATACCAATATAATATTTGGGGAAAGAAGGTTTCCTGTGCAATCTTATTTCGAAACTTGGATTAATATACATAAGGTCATCTTTCAATGTTTGGTTGCCCTCTCCTGACCGACTGATTAAACAAGAGGCCCAGGGGCCTTGAATCGCTCTTCTGATAAATTGTACAACCTATCACTTCTATCTGAAGCCTCCAGCTCTATCATAAGACGCATAACGCGTCAACTGACAAAGTTAGATAATTCTTAAATCACAGTGACCTCCTTTTCGATTGAAATTTTCTGAGGCCTCAAGATGCATTAATTGACAAAGATTGATGATTCTAAGACAATAGGTACTTGAGATATTCAAAAGTAGGTCACCATGACTTACTTTTTGGTCGACATTCTCCTAAGACCCAAGATGCACCAACTGAAAAAAATTGACGATTCTAAGCCGATAAGTCTCTAAGATAATTAAATATAGAGATTAAATGTCAAAAGTAGGTCACAGTGACCTATTTTTTGGTCGATGTTCTCGAAAACCCAAGATGTCTCAATTGACAAAATTTGATGATTCCAAGCCAATAAGTATCCGAGATACTTAAATATAGCCATAAAATATCAAATGTAGGTCACCGTGACCAACTTTTTGGTTGACATTCTCCGAAAACCAAAGATGCCAAAACTGAGAAAGTTTGATGATTCTTATTCAATAAGTACCAGAGATACTTAAAAACAAGCACAAAATGTCAAAAATAGATCACCGTGACATACTTTTTGGTCAAAGATCTCCGAACACCCAAGATTCATCAACTGACAAAGTTTGATGATTCTAAATTAATAAGTACCTGAAATACTTAAATATAGCAATAAATGTCAAAAGTAGGTCAGCATGACCTACATTTTGGTCGACGTTTTTTCATACCAAAAATGCATCAACTGACAACGCAACTAGGTTAAGGGCTACCCAAAGGTAGATCACTGTATGCAGAGCCTCGGGAATTCGATTATGACGTCCCTGTGAAATTGTACAAATGAATCTCGGCGAATAAATAATAATTTTCTTTTTCATATACTCTTACATACTCTGATTTCTCATAATTATTGTAAATATAAATCAATATGTAACTTATCTTGTCATTATAACAATATTTGAATGTAAACTCATAGCCAACTTGGGGCGCGCTTGATTTGTCTACACCTTACACCCGGTGCACACTTTTCCGTATTCAAGTGAAAAAGTGTACACTTTTGGTGTACACCTTCTACACCCTGTGCAGGGCATGTGTTGGAAATTGCACTACAAAATTCAATATGGCCGAAAAATGGTAAGTTTGAAAAATTGCAAGATTTTTTTTTAACATTGAGGATTACTGTCGAGTATTTGTTGAGTTAATTGTAGTTTGTTGAATGTAGCAATGAAGTAAGCCTTCAATGCATGTCCAGGAGTTAATTGAAATGCGTGGTATTTTTCACAATCAATAAAAACATGTTTTCGCGGCAAAAATCAACAAATACTTTAGACCATGAATAGATATTTTTATATGAATACTCATATATGAATGCATGTAAATGCTTTATAAATATATATTACATCATTTTTTACCCATTTTCCTGATAGAGAAGACAGCTACTAAGTGCTTGTAATAATTGGCATTTGATGCCTATAGCCCTCTAAAAAGTTAAACAAGTTTGATATTTTTCTGCGTCAAAGAGGGGGGGGGGGGGCTCCCTTTTCAGCTAATAAATAATTGTAAAACCTTGATACTTTTATGTGTATAGGCAAAAGGGTTTAAGCTAACTGCTTACTGTACAAAAATTGGAGGGGGTATGTCTTTCAATAGAAACTTACATAATAGTAATCAGCAAAACGCATGCGTACCTTTGTTTCACACCTCGGATATATAAAATTTCAGAATATAGCTTTAATATAAATATATACTTTAATTGCAAGTTAACATTTAAGATAATGACAAAAATATGAACATTAATTGATAAATGCCAACAAATGAGTTGAATGTTATTTGTAGTCTGATGTAAACATTCAAAATTGGAAGTGCTATATCTGCGGTCTTTGTCCCACTCCAGTATCGATTCCGGCATTTGAAGTACAAGAAAAAGATACAGAGGCCGTGAAAGTTTTTTTGACGCAGAATACAAGTACATATACATGTAATATTCATTATCAATGAGAATTTAGATAATTAAAAAAAAGAAGTTTTTACTATTTTGAAGGAAAAAAAACCCCGATGTGTTTCTATTTAAAGAACATGAACTCTTTTCCAAATCTTATCTTATCTTATCTTATCTAAAACGAAGATTTATAACTGTTTTAGGATTTTCCTAAGGTGTCAATTTTGTAAGTCAGCATTTCATGCTGCGTGTGACGGATTCGAAGCAGGGGTGCTATTCAAAAAAGACGAAATATATTGCAACAGGTGTGCGTAAGAGATGGAGGAGCTTACCAGGTATTTATTTTTTTTATTTAATGTATAAACTTAAAATATTGTCCAATATTGTGCAGACGGTTTGAAAGACCTCTAGGGGAAAAACTGATTTTTTTTTTATAATTTACAGACGTCCGTTTGTAATTGACACGCCTGAAGGAAGCATTACAGCACTACTTCCTCTGCATTTTGCATCAAAAATCGAAACTGGTGAGTAATACTTAAAGCAGTGTTGATTTCAATAGGTATAACTGAAGATTTCTGATTTTATTTTAAAATTGACTCAACTTGAATATGGTGTGTTTCAAATATAACTGCATGTATTTTGTATTTTGTCACACTGTTTTTGTAGATCCACTGGCAGAGGAAGACTTTAAAGAGAAAATATCAGAATTCCAAAGAAAAAGCCCTGGAGTAATGAACATACTAGTTTATGACGATGGTGCTATTGAACCCGTACAAACCGTAGAGGAAATCCAGCAGACAGCTGAGGAGTCAGAGCTGACCAGTCAGACCTCTGATGATGATGACAATACAGGTAAAAAAAATAACGATCTATTTCTAAATTAAGAACTCTTCAGGTTTAATTAAAAATATGCATTTTTAGTTGCACTTGAAAAAAATTTTTTTTTTTTTTTCATTTCTAAAGCTGCTTCATTTAAATGGACACCTGAAATAACAAAGTCATTGATTGATGAGGTACATGCACACCAAAAGGAAAACCCCAAACAGGTCAAAAAGAAAATGTTTCAGGAAATTACCCGTAATCTGAACAAGGAGAAAAACCTTGCCCTGACAGAAACACAGGTAACGAACAAATACAAAACACTGATGAGGGGTTACAAGAATGTCGTTGATAATAACAAAAAGACAGGAACAGCAAGAAAACACCATCCTTTTGAAAAGGAACTGGGGGACTTAACCAAAGGGAATCCCAACATTAAACCCACGCATACTCTGACGTCAGCAGCGGGAGTTGCAGCCTCTTCCTCATCAGATGACTCGGTGTCAAAGGAAGACCCGCCAAAGTGTTCTAAAGAGCCAAGGAAGCGTCCAAGGTCAGAAATTACGGAATTTTTGAGAGAGGAGTCCGAAAGGCAGGATCAAAGATTCAAATTGTTCATGGATCAGATGGAAAAAATGCAGGAAAAGAAGTTAGAGATGTTTAGGGAAATTTTTGGACCTAAGAAAGACTGAGTAAATCTTTTCTGATAAATCCAGAATTTCGCTTTTTTGTGTGTTTGAATGTATGTTACTTATTTTGTTACTTTTATTACGAAAATTTAATCATTTAACCCTTTAATTGGAAAAATACAGGAAAAGAAGTTAGAGATGTTTAGGGAAATTTTTGGAGAAAGACTGAGTATATCTTTCCTGATAAACCTAGAATTTCTGTTTTCTGTGTGTTTAAATGTATGTTAATTATTTTGTTACTTTTATTACGAAATTTTAAAGATTTAACCTTTTAATTTTGTACATGCAGATACATGAGAAGTTGTGACTTTTTTGTTTGGTTAAAAAAGAAAAAGATACAAATATAGAGATCAACTCGTGTTTTAATCTGCTTTATTTTAGTTACAAGTTTTCATAATTCATATACTTTTAAGGTTCACACATCAAAAGCAGTACACAGGTTCCATTTCCACTTATACATGTAACAAGTGTAGCTAATTATTTCCAGGATGCAATAAGCGATGCGCTATTTGATTTCTCTTGACCACTCCAGCAACGTTCCCGATAGCATTGATCAAAACTTCTTGTTGATCCTCATTGTTGTCAAAGTACTCGGGTAATAAATCTCCTTGGCAAATGCAAAGATTGTGCAAAACACAGCATGACATTATGATATCACATGTATGCACTAGACCGGAAACGTTAATGTGTTGTAAGCGCTTAAAGCGTCCCTTAAGAAGTCCAAACGCTCTTTCTATTAGTACCCGTGTAGTTGACAAAGCAATGTTATAGTTAGTTTGTTCCCTTGTCAGTATTCCAACACGTCGGAAAGGTGTAAGTAACCACTCTTGAAGTGGGTATGCCGAGTCGGCGATAAGATGTTTTCCTCCACACAGTTGTGGTCCACTGTCCCACAGATCCGAATTCTTAAGAACGCGAGCATCGTGGACACTCCCTGGCCATCCTACATAAGCATGTATAAATAGTAAATTAGAATCACAAACACACTGTAGCTGCAGAGAATGGAACCCCTTTCGATTAATGTACTGTTCCGGGTGGTTTGTGGGAGGTGTTATGTGAACGTGGGTTCCGTCCAGTGCCCCAATAACATCAGGAAAACCTTTAATATCTCTAAAACCTACAATTATATTTTCAATTTCGTCTCTATTCGGCCATTTTATTACCCTGGGTCCAACAGAAACAAGGGCCTCTACAACATTTCGGCGTGCTCTGATAACACTGAAATCCGTAACGCCAAATCTATCAGCTGTCACCAACACAGTTGATTGGGTGCCAAGGTACCACAATGCTATTAACAGTTGTTTTTCCGGAGAAAGTGGAGGTCTTCCTCGGAGTGGTTCCTCGTAGGTTAGTCTTTCTCCAATTTTTTGGAGGATGACCTCTACAGAGGATCTTTTGAGCCTAAACATTCTTCTAAATGTAATGTCATCGTATTCCGGCACCACCGTCTCCATGTAGAGACTCACGCGAGTCTTTTTCTGTCTTTCAGAACTTGAAAAAAATCAAAACAATGTTTAGATTAAAATTTCGATAATATAGTACTAAAATATGGGGGTGGAGTGTGAGAGGGGAGCACGATCGAATTTCATGTGTGTGAGGGTGTGTGTGTGTGGAAGGGAATGGGGCATATCATATAAATACCTTGCCAGAATAAAATTTCCAACTGAAAACAAGGCTAAACAGAAGCGTCGATTGAATAATTTTATTTGCATATGTAGTACATGTATATATTAATTGCAATAGGAAAACAAAGCGAATAGCTTGTTTATAGCTGTGCCTCATAAAAATCTTTCCCCTTTTCATTTTTGTCTTTTTTGCATGTGTACATGTACAAAAGCTTGTCAAAATTTTTTCTGTTTGATCGTGGCCCTTTCCTACACTGAAATTATTTTCTATGGATCAGATTGAAGCATATTTTATGTGCGTATTACCTGCAGACTGCCAAAGGCATCGAATGACCAAAGAAATTATTTAGGAAAGCAAGAAAAAACGAAGAATCATCTCCAAAAAGGATTTCCTCAGCTGCTGCAACCGATTTGACGTCCATAATACACTACACCGAATTGCACTTGATTATAAGGTGTAAATCGGTTACACCGGGTGTAGTACGGTGTAGACAAATCAAGCGCGCCCTTGATATCGCTGTACTAACAGATATGACGTCATAGGCTAGTTTGACACGCAGTTTCTCTGTACGTGAGACGCAGATCAAGCTATTAGTGGAACTGAAAATATGAAAATTAAAACTAAATAAGCGTGATCTGACTAAAATTGATTCATATTTTTTAATGCATTAATCAATAGTTCACAGTCTTATTTAATTGATAACAATTAGGTCTCTTACAAAGCCGCAGTCATGCTCTTTTATACTGAAACGTACTACAATCACAGGTACAACCCCTTCAAAATCTCAAAAGTTCAACGATATGCGCTTGATTATAAATTATAATATTTTATACACATGTAGGTACTGTCCCTACTATTTTGAAAAGTGCTGGGAGCAAGCTGTGCGCTGTTTATTTTTTCCGTAATTTTACATTTTTTAAATGCGTATAGTGTAAATGCACGTAGTTTATCAAAAGTCGGCTAAATTTTATATAATTCCCGGGCATGGAGAAGTTGCTCCCAGCACTTTTCGGGTTAAGAAATTTGTCTCAAAGAAAACACAATCAATTTCACAGGAAGAATAATCCGTATATCGTTGAACTTTTACGATCTTTGTATCCATACATATTTTTTCTAATTTTAAACATGTCACTGACAAACAGCTGATGTACGTGAAGTCGCGTTGGTCGAACTCGGTTGAGACCCCATACATACATGTGCATTAGTTTAATTCCCATTAAATTCAAACTCATGCTAATAAAAATATATCAACATTATATTGATTTTTTCGGAATAGTTTAAGGCATATTTCCTATGGGCGGCCTTAACCTAGCTGCGAAAGTTAAATGATCATAGGTCTGAAAGTATGTAAAATATGCCTTTAAAACAATTTGAATATAAATGCCTTCAGAATTCAAAAAGTAGGTCACAGTGACCTAATTTTGACATAATTTTCCATAAATATGTTTAAGATCCCAAGATGCATCAACTTACTAAATTTCATTATTCTAAACCTCGCAATGTCTGAAATAATGTGATTAAATGTTAGAAACGATATGACAAATTTCAAAAAGTAGGTCACGGTGACCTACTTTTAAGTTTACCTTGTTCGAGGACCCAAGATGCATCAACTGACAAAGTTTGATGATCATCAACCTTAAAGTGTCTAAAATTTGCCCCCAAATCAATTTAAATAATCTATTCTTTTGAATTTGAAATCAAACGTCCGCAAAATTAAAAAAAGTAAAACACCGTGACCTACTTTTGAGTTAATGATGTGAAGTCCTAAGATGCATCAACTTCAAAGATTTAATGATTCTATTCATTATAGTAAGCAAAATATATTAAGTGTAAATTTTGTCATCTTTGAAGTGACCCTGAGACCAGGCCCTTTGCCCCAGAGTAATTCCCCGTGCAAATTTTAATTTTCAATATATCCTGATCCTTGTATGTATGTTTTGTGAAAATCTGTCTGGTGGTTCCTGTGCAGAAGATTTTTTAGTAACCAGTACTTTTGGTTTTATATTCCTGATAATCTCCCCTTCTTTAAGGGTTCCAACCCTAGTTTTAGTATAAATGGTAGGCCTTGGGCAAAGGATTATACCCTGTAACAAATTTGACATTGATTGGCTAAAGAGTTCTTGAGTTTTGGCCAATATTCTAAAAAGTTTACGCACATCGCAAAAATTTCCAAAGCATTAGCGCTTTGAGCCTTTGACTCAGAAGAGCTAAAAATACCGAATTCAAGACTGTTTTCAAAGAAATCCTGACACCATATTTTTATTCCTCTTGCCCTGTCAACAAATGTGTTAAAATGTTCTGGAAAGAAATTTTTTCTTAAAAATTACTAAACACCGATTCAATAATATTACTCTGAGTCGGGAGAGGATAAGCATTCTAAGCATTCTAAAGACGGCCTAAAATACAGAAATTTTACATGGATTCTCTTTGAATTTGTTCACGAATGTTGTTGTACACGAGTCCCAGCAACTGATCCACGATATGAACCACACCGTTAGACATCGTTATATTACCCTCCATAATTGCCGTCCCCGAACCACCACTGTAAACATATACTGAAATCAAACAAAAGTCATAATTAAGAGAACCGGGGCGTTGTGTCCATTTTTAAATTATTTTGGTCTCCTTTAGAAGAAGAGCTTCAAATCAAGATATTCAAAAATGATCGAATTTCAAAACTTAAATAAGATGTATATTAAAATTTTTCGTTGACAAATGATAATTGACAGCTTAAGATATCATATCTAGAAAATGGAAGTTTTATCTGATGGTTAATTTGTTGACCCCCCCCCCCCCAAGCCTCCTTCAGGAAGGTAAACGATAGCGGTAGATAAAGGAATTAAAATTGATATGAAATAAAGAATAAAACCACACAAAATGGATATAATTTTCAATAAATCACAATCTTATATCACAATCAAATATCTTATTTAACATTTATCCATTACACGTTGACAAAATGTTGAGTTTTGATTTTTGAATAGTGATCTGCAGGCGAAATCCTGATAATTATGTTAATGAAATAATAGCATTAATGTAATCTTTTATATATATCAAGAAGTTTATAAATAGCACTCTTTTTGAACTTTTCATTACAAAAAAAAAATCATTCAAAATACGAAAACAGACTAAGTTTTTAGTAAAAGGTATCCTGATTATTTGTCAAGGGGAAGGATTTATTTTCAAAATCAGAGAATAAAATAAATAGGTTTTGGTGTTACCTTGTGGAATTTGATCAGAACTTGCTAAAACAAAAATTCACAACAAAAAGAATTTTTAACGTACCATTGTCACCTGATTTGCGAAATGTCAATGGTTGATCGTTGGCATCAGTAAAACTCTCATTGTGAGGAATACAGTTGGTGAAAATTGCCCGGTGACGTACATAATGAGCTTGAATGACCTGAATTAAAAAAAATGTATGCTGTATATAGGCACTTTTAACTCTTTAATAAAGTGGGTCAAAGGACAACGTCAAGGATCACGAGGTCGGGAACCATGGCAATAATTACTGACAATTGCCGAAGTGCCAAGCAATAGATGTGCAAAATATTAAGTCCATATCTCTTAGTTTTTGAGATAATTAGTGTGACATCAGACGGACACACAGACAGCTAGACAGGCGCCAGGTAAAGTGATCCCTTAGTGCCTTCTGCTCCGCAGGCGAAACAAAAAAAAATTATACGGTTTGATTCAAATTGAACAATTGTAATATGTATGGAACTCACTTTTCAAATACCGCAAATTATACGTCTCAAAATTTTACTGATGATTTCAAGCAGTTTCCGTTTCTGAAATTGATGACACATTACATAGTTTAATGACTTTTATCCTCCCCTTTAAATGATTGAAGTGTAAGGGTGTATCATGTACGTCTACGAAAGAAACAAACTTAGGATGAAAATATCCCTACAGAATTTAAACTCAAAACTCAAATATTGAAAGGGGAGGAAGAAAGTATTGGACAACTGATAACCAAAAAATATTTATTCTCGCATACACGCTAGCTTTTATGTTACCTTACTGTACCCAGGTTTCTAAAAAAAAAAGAAGAAATGAAGTTGCACTGTTTCTCTTCTCAAAAACGTATTGACAAGGAAAGTGTTTGGTAAGATAAGGAATAGATTATTCAGTTTTATTCTTATTCTATTCGTTCTGAATACTATTTACATTCAAGTAATTCATACTAATTGTATGATATTATGTGGGGTTTTATCATTAAATGTAGTGTAAATTTTCCCCGTGTAATTCTGTGAGAATTAATTTATAGTGTATATTCATATTGTGCAATTCTGTGGGATTTTAAAATTTGTTTATATTTTTGGTGTTTTCTGATCAGTGTATGCTTTTTCCTGTAGTGCACTTTAAATTCACGGGATTTTAAGTGTATAAGTGGGGTTTTTTTCCTGTGTAATTTTGTGAGATTGTTTATGAACCTACTATGTACCCGTTGTAATTATGTCGGATTATTTTGTAAATTTACATTTACCTGCTGTTCGTCAGGGTTATTTAAGGAATCACTGTCTAGTTAGGAGGGTATGTCAGGGCATCATGTTTCAATTTTTACTTGAAATAACAATCTTAAAATATATCGGAATACCGTCTCATTTAGTAGATTTGAAATGTACGAGGCATTTCATGTTCTTTTCTATTGCCCCGCCCATGAAGTCAAATTTTACTATAAAAAAAAGTCCCATAACACACGAACCAAATTTAATTATTATTTAGTTACTGTAGCCAAATATCAACATTTGTAGTATAGAATAAACAACTTACAAAAGAATTTTAAATTATGACCAAAACAATCTCGTTAACTTTAATTATATATATGTGACCTAGATTTAGGTTTTCGGAAGCACGAAAACGTGTATAGGCCCTAGGACACTTCTCCGCCGCCATATTGAATGCAATGTTACAGTTGATGAAACGTGAGTTGGTCAGCATGGTCAGGAAACAGATTTGTGTGAATGTTAAAATAACAGAGGGAGTTGAGTTGCATAAAAAGTCGGATGTTTATGTTTGAGGGACGATGTCTATATCAGATGGTGAAGTGCAGATCGATCTATGTGCATGTGGCGATGCCGATTTCTCCACGTGGTTCAGATGGGCTGGTTAACATGTTTACGGAAGTTGAGTTCACGGTCTCGCGAGTCCTCGGTGGTAGTGGACTTGGTGACTTGTTTTTGATCCGGAGATAATTCATTATTTATTTTGTTTGTAAAAATATATATGATATGTAATTACTATGTAAACAATTAAACAAAACAGCTATTTTTTCTTCAGTGTATTTATACGCCGGTCATGTACCATACGTATACATGCAGGTTGACATTTGACCTTTCAGTAGTATATCAATAGAGAAATTTACATGCCACAGGAATCACGGAAAATAAACAAGATTTACTTTTGCAGTGTTTATCATTGGGAAAACAATTGGAAATGGAAATATTATCAGATAAGTATATGTTTATATATGTATATGATCAGTTTACATTTACCCAATGCCCATTGTAATACTGCAATATATGCTAAGTATACAATTACATATTGAAATTCTATAAAATCTAAAAAAAAGTTACATTTACCCATCGTAGCTTTGTGAGATAGGGTGGGTTTATTGTTCCACGTTGTAATTCCGTGGCATTCGGTAGATTTATTTTAACCTAATAGTTCTAAAGGATCTGATAGGTTTATATTTATTCATTCGAATTCTGTTAGATCTGACAAGTATACATCTGTATATTTACCCGATCTAATTCTGTGGGATTCGAAATATTTACATTTACCCTTTCTTATTCTGGGGGATTCGATAAGTGTATTTTTACCTGCTCTAATTCTGTGGAATTTGATATACATTTATTTATATTTCCTCTTTGTAATTCTGTGGGATCTAATAAGTGTATTTATGTTCTTACCCATTGTAATTCTGTGGGATTTAAGAAGTACATATATATTTGTACTTACCTGAGGGATCTAATAAGTGTATGTATGTAATAATTCTGAAGGATCTAATAAGTGTATGTATGTACTTACCCATTGTAATTTTGTGGGATCTAATAAGTGTATGTATGTACTTACCCATTGTAATTTTGTGGGATCTAATAAGTGTATGTATGTACATACCCATTCAATGTAATTATGAGGGATCTAATAAGTCTATGTATATACTTACCCGTTGTTATTCTGAGGGATTTAATAAGTCGATGTATGTACTTACCTGTTGTAATTCTGAGGGATCTAATAAGTCGATGTATGTACTTACCCGTTGTTATTCTGAGGGATTTAATAAGTCGATGTATGTACTTACCCGTTGTAATTCTGAGGGATCGTTCTTCAGTCTGATCAGCACGGAGATAGGTATCTTTTGCATTGCACTGTCACTGGGAATAAACAAGGTGGTAATATTTTCTGATGAGGAAATTTCATTTATGCTGTCCATCGTATAAAGGTAACTCATCAAATCGAGGAATATCCTGCAATTAAACGCAATATCTTTTCTTGTTAAACTGTTTACTGTATACAGGATTAATTTCACCCCGTGTTATTTTCGCCCATTCACCCTTGTAAGCAATTTTGCCCCGTTTTATAATCGCCCAGTCATTGCTCTGTTTAAGAAATTATACCGTATTCTTTGAATTCGCTTCGTTTTAAATTCAACCACCTGTGAGTACGATAAAAGGGGCGAAATTAAAACGGGGGCGAGAATTTCCTGGTATACAGTATTGGATTGTATATACTAGTCTTTTGTATGTTTTTTTTAAATAAAAAATTGATCATAAAGGTTTAAGTTACATACAAATTTATCATAATGACACATGTTAACAGCAAAATATTTTTTTAATGCAGCTCATATTGCATCAAGGTTAGAGAGAACACAGTTTTGAAAATTAAAATTAACCAACAATATTAATTATGTGTAAACAATTGTAAGAGGGGTAAATCTCATCTGGAAATTATTGAACTTTTGATTGAACAGGGCGTGTTTAAGATACATTGATACTCTGATAAGAGAGATAACTCTTAATGACACAAATGTCTATTATTCCCTTACAAATTTGCCAAATTGAAGTGCCTTTTTTGTCAAATTTTCCCCCGCAAGCCATGCTATAAATGTCTGTATTTTATCTAGCATATACATTTCCTTTGGAAATCATAAAAGTTAAAGAAAAATTTTATATGAGTGAACAGAGGGTTTATAAACCTTAATTGTTAAACTCTGCACACATCACTGAACACAGATTGACAATACTGGAGAGTTGGTTTAGCTTTCTAACAATTTTAAATTCTCTAGATGAAAGTTTCAAAATATCTCATTACTACACCACAAACAGTTTATAGAAAAATTTCGTACATGATTAAGAGCAGATGGTAAATTATTCAAATTGGCACAATTTTTGTTACATATATATTTGCTAAATATGATTCTTAAAAAGAATGCGTCATTTTCGATCGGAGTCTCGCGATATATGTTCAGAGGACCCTTATATAAATGGGCTAGCTTAGCCACAATTCAGTGTAATCAATCGTCACCAGGGAAGAGGGAGGTATGCTTTTCAGCACCCGGTAGCGACAAAAATAACTGTAACACTTCTTCTAATGCAGGAAAGTAAGAAACAAATAAAGCTTACAATAGTTGCACAGGTCAGTGCAGTTAAAAAAAACAAAGATAAACACCACTGCAATAAAATTAGAACAAAATTAATGCAAGAAGACCAGCACGAACACGGGGCGCTTTTCCATGCCATCCATGAAAATAAAAGTCAGTTGTAACGAATATAGAGTATACCCTGGTGCTGATATCAAAATGCCGTATGCCTATTTACGAGTCGTTTTCAGCTTCAAAACATCTCTCAATGTAATAAAAGTAATAATATTTTACAATGAAAATTTAAAATCATAATAATCAATATAAAATTAAAACTGTCTACATAACAAATTACACTGCAAGAGTAATATGCAGTAAACATAGTTACTTAAATTGCCGGGTAGTATCCTCGGGATCTTGGATCCACCTATAGACTGTCTTCTGAATCGTCTTCCGCATGATTCCATTTAGAGCATGAACAATCCCATTGGTGGCCGAGATGTCACGTGATCCCTCCGAAATCTCCACACCGTTGACATAATACTTAGTTTCATAAGTGAGTCCTGCTGTCTGAAGAAATGTAAAGACAGAACAGAAATAACTTTGCAAAAACCTTGCCTGACTAAAATACATGGGGAGGAGGGGTGTTAATTATTTCATTTAAGGTCATTATGAAGACGTTGACAGAAATATTAATTCATTCATTTTAAGTTGTTTGCTTATCATCAGAACAATAGCAAAATAAGACTTTACCTACCGTGTGTATTCTCTGGATGCGATTAAAATAAAGTCTGTCTCCATTGGAACTCATGCTTAGCTCGTACTGATTGTCCCTGAGAGAGGAGGTTGTAATGCGATTTCCATAGACTGAAAACCGCAACGATAGAGTCAACATAACCAGACATTGTTAAACATGTACTGATGATTCTGAATAGTGTTAGTATATACTAAATATATATGCATGTGAATAATGAAATCTTTTATTAAATCATTTCTTCTTTCCTGGAAGCATTTAATTATTGTTGTGAAGAAAAAAAAGATGACAATTATTACTGTTTCATTTAATGGTGCAATAAACAAAGTTTTTTGACTATCGATACTCATGATCTGTACTTGTATCTCTCAAATGTTTCAGATTTTCCTTGCACTTGTGTATACGCTGTACAGTATAACTGCGATGATGGTAGGGGCTTTGATTAGGCTTGCAAATCGGAGAGGAATTTCCTCTTTGAACATTCCTTAAAGCTTCAAAAGTGTATATCCTGATGTCATCTGCATACAACGCAATCATCTCATAAGCCCAGATCGATAGATCGGGGGCGCATATTTTTTGCCCAGTCTGTCTGTCCAGCTGTTAATTTGTCTGTCAATCGTCAACTTAAACCTTCGCCGTAACTTTTGACTCATGAGAAATACTTCATATTTGATATGCTGACTCCACTAATTAAGTTCTTTCAAATGACATCAAGGTCAATCTCCTTGTGACCTGAACTGCGACCGCAATACCTACCTGAACAAAATTTAAGGTAGTCTTGAAGCTCAGTAACATTGTAGTTATCTATCTCATTGCGTTCTGTAATAAGCTTTGTTAGTGAACGGCTCTGTTAGCTGGTAATAAGCTTTGTCAGTGAACGTAAACACAGTCATGTTGGTCGAAACTTCAAAAAACTCTGTTAGTTCCGCCCTATGAACTAGCTGTGCAAACTGCAAATTTAAATATTCTGTTGATAAATACAAAAGAACGCGATCTTTGCATGCTACATGTATTTTAATTATGTTGAATACAAGGAGTATTCTTATAGTGAACCCTGAAAAAAGTTTTGATGTTTGTTTTTTTCCTGCAAAAGTGATGGCTACTAAAACCAGAAGTCTCTGTCGAGACTAAAGCTCTACTGGTTTGTACTTATAATAAAGAAAGAAAAAGTATCAGTTGGGATATAAAACTTTACAAGAGCAATAAATAGAATAATGACAAAAACCGATATACAGAATTATGTATCTTAGTGTAGTCTACTTGTGTGCCAAGTTATATTGAAATCAGACCAAAACTGTAGGAGGAGTAGCATTTTAAATGTATTTCAAAGAAATTTCTTTTTTAAATAACAACAGCAACACCGTTAATTGAAACAAAAACCTATATACAGAATTATGTATCTTAGTGTAGTCTACTTGTGTGCCAAGTTATATTGAAATCAGATTTAAACTGTAGGAGGAGTAGCATTCAGAATGTTTTTCAAAGAATTTTCTATTTTTAGTAACAACGGCAAAACCGTTCATTGAAATCAAAAACCAATATACAGAATTATGTATCTTAGTGTACTCTACTTGTGTGCCAAGTTATAATAAAATCAGACCAAAACTGTAGGAGGAGTAGCATTTTGAAAGTATTTTTTTTTATAAATTCTATTTTTAGTAACAATGACAGCACCGTTCATCGAAATCAAAAACCGCTTTACAGAATTATGTATCTTTGTGTAGTCTACTTGTGTGCCAAGATATACTGAAATCAGATTTAAACTGTAGGAGGAGTAGCATTTTGAATGATTTTCACAATTTTTTCTATTTTTAGTAACAACAGCAACACCGTTCGTTGAAATCAAAAACCTATATATAGAATTATGTATCTTTGTGTAGTCTACTTGTGTGCCAAGTTATATTGAAATCAGATTAAAACTGTAGGAGGAGAAGCATTTTGAATGATTTTCAAATTTTTTTCTATTTTTAGTAACAACGGCAACACCGTTCATTGAAATCAAAAACCGATACATAGAATTATGTATCTTAGTATAGTCTACTTGTGTGCCAAGTTATATTGAAATCTGACCAAAACTGTAGGAGGAGTAGCATTTTGAATGATTTTCATTAAAAAATTCTATTTTTAGTAACAACAGCAACACCGTTCATTGAAATCAAAAACCGATACACAGAATTATGTATCATAGTGTAGTCTACTTGTGTGCCAAGTTATATTGAAATCAGACCAAAACTGTAGGAGGAGTAGCATTTTGAAAAATTGTTTACAGACGGACAGACAGACAGACAGACCGACGGACGCATTACTATCGCATAAGCTCTTCTGGTCTCTGACCAGTAGAGCTAAAAACGTTGGTTCTTGGTCTCGTTGGTCAAAAGCTATTCAAAAAAATGTTATTTAAAATAACTTTTCAAAAACAAAGGATGTCAAATATAAATTCCGTAAAATTTTGAATGTTTTTTTTTAAATGAGCAAGTGTTTGAATTTAATGACTCTTTCACTCAATTCAACGTATGATACAGTCTGTTTTTTTTATCTTATATTTTCGGTACAATACGTCCACATGAAAAATAATACTAGTGCATGTCTTGCTTATGCTAAATTTTAGCTGCTGTTTATTAAAATTAATTGCTGTTAAAATATGACATTTGTTACCTGACCACTTATATACTATTGTACTTTGACGATCTAAAATTTCGTTCATCATGTCATGTCCATAACATTTTTTTTCGACAATGCAATTTTTCTAAAAAGTCAATTTAACACAATTATTGAAAATCTACAAATAATACCCCTATTGACTTAAGAGGCAGTCCACCGAAACGTCGCATGTCATGGATTTTAACTATTTTTTGCATGTAGACTTATTAAAGCAAGTGTTTACACATGACAACTTGAAAAAAAAAAATCAGTGCTCCTCTAGTCCTATTTTTGGTAAATGCTTAATTTTAAGTGCAAACAGGTCAACATGAGGGTAAAAAAAATGCTAAGTTTTTATTTTGTTTTATGTGAAACAGATACTCAAAAGCTGGATGTGTCGATGTGTAAAAAAAATTGTACATGCATTATGCAACAAATGAGAGCAGGCAGTTTTAAATCTAACTTTATTATTTATCTTATTTCCAAGTAAAATTTCTATTTTTTTTTTCAGGAACTAAAGAGTTAAATTCTATCAGTGGCGAAATTAAACTTGCCTAAATACAGAAAATATATTTATGTGTTCAGTCTCGACTTTATCTATTTTATTTTACCTGTCATCTGTAAAGCCTTTTCCCCTATATTTTCTTCTTTTACAAAATTTAATTTTATGTAAATAAGAATACAAGTTCTTTCATTTATATATAGTATCATTATTTAAGAGTCCATTAATCGCCAGCAAAAAGCAAGGGGTGGGGGGGGGGGGGGATCACGACATCATATTTTTAGAAACTGGTTTCATGAACGTGAAAACTTTTTAAAATTGGCCAACATAGTAACATGTTTTAACTCCATATTAAATGTGAGCTGTGTGATTGTCTCAATCGCCAAATTATTAAAAAAATAAAACCCCGAAATGTTTCAGAAGTGGGGAGTTCAGCAGTAATTTAACTCAATAAATATATTTTTATAACTTATTTTTCAACGTTTTTTTTCCGTTTTTAATGGATTGTTTATTTTGATTTGACTGCACAGATAAATATATTCAGTTTTTACAAATACATGTATCTAATCATGACGTAAACATCTCAACTTCGTTGAAGTAAATTTTGCGTAAATATAAAACTTTATTCAATGATTCCTGAATTAAATGTTGCGTAAATCTAAACCAAGCATCATTGATTCCTGGATAATCAGAAGAAAATAAAATTTCTTCACATCCCAATTTTATAAGAAATGTCCATTATAAACACTTCATTAATTATTTTAACACATATCCTAGTAAATCAGTTAAAAAAATAGTTCTGAGACATGTATAAAATTACTTATCAAAACGGACTTGTTTTAATACATCTAGCTGAGACTCTGTCCATGTATACAATACATTTTGATGTAAAAATATTATTTAACATTTAGAATAATGCACTCTGAAGAGTAATTAAACAGAAAAAGAGAAATAAGTTTTTTAAATCTTTTTATTTACACTTTTACGCAAAAAAATTACAAACTATTTCACTGTGACGCAATATTAGTCAGGTATATGACGTCACTGATACATCAATGGAAACGTGGATTCAACCTGAATAATAGAGTCAGATTTAATCTAAATTTTAAATTTGGAGGCGAAAATGAATTATACATTGAAAATAAATTAGTTATTTTTTGTTTAATAATTTTCTTTAGTGTATCGATTCTAAATATTTCACTAGGATTCCGATAAAAAGGTGTTTAGCAGATTTACCGATGCCACGGGAGATAACTCTTGCATTGCAAAATTTCATAAAAACGTCTATATATTTTGCCAGAAAACTACTATCAAAAGTGTTTTTCCTACCGATTTTATTTTTTAAATAAACAGATAAAATATTTCTAGATTTAGTTAAGTGTGAATTATAGTCCTGTTAAAAATGTATTAGAAATTACAGTTCTTTGTTTCTGACCTAAATTCAATGGTTTATATTGGGGAATTCAAAAACACAAAACACAAGAATATTTTACTAAATAAGCAATTTTCAAACAAATCTTCAATTACAGTATTCCTTTTGGACTACATTGATATTGTTTTTAATAAACATAGGTAATCAGAGATTACAGAGCTCACCTCAACGAATGTTGTCTTTCAGTAAGGCAAAGTCACACAATTAACCAACAGAAAGTATACATTCCAAAAATGAAAAATTTAAGCAATTTTGATCTGATACTTTGAAATAGACCTTCATAAAAAATTTAAACTAGTTCTTCTTCATGAAAATATAATGAAAATCCAGCATCTGAAGCAAATTTGAGAGTTTTCATCTCTTGATGCAGCATTTGTGCAAGTTTGGTTTATACAATGTTATATAAGCCTTATAGTTTTTGGAAATAGACCTGCAACCATAACTTTTACCTTGTCTATTATCTGAAAAATGTATGTCGAATTCAGCATCCGAAGCAAGTCAATTAGTGTGCATCCTTAGATGTATCATCCATGCAAGTTTGCTCATTATAGGGCTCATAGTTTATTGGAAATGAAACATGCATCAAAAACTAACATTTTCACTCATCCACAAAAAGTAGGTCAGATTCAGCATCCGAAGCAAGCCTGGTAGTATGCATCCTTAGATGTATCATCTATGCAAGATTGGTCATTAAAGAACTCATACTTCCTTGGAAATGAAACCTGCACCAAAAACTTTTACCTGTTCACTCAACCGGAAAATGCAGGTCAGATTCAGCATCCGAATCAAGCCTGGTAGTGTGCATCCTTAGATGTATCATCCATGCAAGTTTGGTCAACATAGGGCTTAAAGTTACTTGCAAATGAAACCTGCACCAAAAACATTAACCTGTTAGCTCAACTGGAAAATGTAGGTCAGATTCAGCATCCGTAGCAAGCCCGGTAGTATGCATATTTAGATGTATCATCCATGCAAGTTTGGTCAACATAGGGCTTATAGTTACTTGGAAATGAAACCTTCACCAAAAACTTTAACCTGTTCACTCAACCGGAAAATGTAGGTCAGATTCAGCATCCGAAGCAAGCCCGGTAGTATGCATCCTTAGATGTATCATCCATGCAAGTTTGGTCAACATAGGGCTTATAGTTACTTGGAAATGAAACCTGCACCAAAAACTTTAACCTGTTCACTCAACCGGAAAATGTAGGTCAGATTCAGCATCCGAAGCAAGCCCGGTAGTATGCATCCTTAGATGTATCATCCATGCAAGTTTGGTCAAAATAGGGCTTATAGTTACTTGGAAATGAAACCTACACCAAAAACTGCACCAAAAATGTTAACCTGCTCCAAAAACATTAACCTGGTCATTCCTTTGCTGAAATTGCAGCATCTGAAACTCTGTCTGGTACAATGAAACACACTAGAACCATATTCCATGCATGTCTAATCAATATAGGACTCAGAAGTAATTAAAAAGAAAACTGCTCCAAAAAACTTAACCTTAACCTGGGACGCCGACACCGACGCCGACGCAGAGGGTGTCACATAAGCTCCCCCCAACTTCGTTGAGGTGAGCTAAAAAATCAAATATTCCTCATATTCGATGTGCTGCCTATTAATACAATTCGGTGGACTGCCTCTTAAATAAACAAGATGGCCATGGGCCATATCGCTCCCCTCTGCAAAAGCACAAACAAAATCAGTAAAGGGGAGGTTGGCTTGAATTTGAATTTGAAACTAAGGATGCTTCTATACTAGAGTATAGCTGACATGTCTGTTTTTGAACAGATTTTTCCCTACGTACCTCTCTTTAAAAATTTGATCCCCATTTGTCGCCCCTCCCTACCCCAGGGGCACCTCAGTTGAACAGACTTGTATATAAAATATCTGAGGATGCTTTCATATAAACATGACTTTTTTTCTTTGGATGTTTTTCCTGTATACTCCTTTGTAAAACTTTCATTCGCGTTTGTCCATTACAGCTAAATTTAAACATTTACATGCATCATAGACAATTAATGTGTACGAGTTTATAGACTCCGAGAGTAGTGTAACAATAAGTGCGCAATTTCTTAAGCTACACCTTAACCTAGTACATGTAATATAAAAAAAAACTTTCAAAGGCGATGCGTGACTTACCTTATAAAACCCTGAAGTTCGTGTTAAAATTTGAAGAATATTTTCCGATATAACTTGTCCTTGCACATAATTAATGAAGTAAAATGACATCAAAAGTTTAAAAATCACACTCCGGGTCTCCATGCTGTATGAATTTTCAAATGCATTAACTGAACAAAAGAAGGACTTGCATGAACGCAAACGACCGGGAGTGGATTTAAATTCCCTCATTCATAGTCTGACATGCGTTTGTTTTGACTAAATTCAGGAAGTGATAATTTTAAATTAATTTCTTTTTAAAAGGTTGGGTATTGCAGTCATATGTTTTTGTTGTTTGTTTGTTTTCACATTATTAACACACACATATATCATAATCAAACATTAAAAGAAAGAAAAGCATCTAACAACAAATGCTACTTTGCATTAAAGATGACATTTTTTCACCGTTAATGCATTTGACGCATGAATAATTTTTCTATTCATATTCAGATATGTATTTTTATTTCAATAAACCAAACACCGTTTTATTTCATGTAAAATTATAAATTTAAAATTGAAAAGAAATTAATCTCAGATGATTTCGCTTTATAGGTACATATATTTTGTCCTTTCTGTACTTATAAAATGTCATGATTAAAATGGTAAAAAGGACAGGGCCACTACGAATAGGGTACGACATACAGTAACATGTATGTCCAGATAACTCAGCTATTGAACTGAATCATTGATGCAAATCTTTTTTATATACATGCTACATCAATTATCTGTGTTTCAAAAGGACAAAAAAATTATACATAAAATTTTAGTACTTTTTAATCAGAAAAAAACTACCAACAAA